ACCGCTCTTTAATCAATCCGTTGTGTATCAGATTCAATATCATAGTAAAGATCTAATTTACTTAAAAATTTGCTGCATGGCCTCATCGTGGATTCTCGGTGTTATAAAGATTTAGTTGCACTAGTTTCCTATTATTTCAAGCCCTTGGTGATAGTACTCTCCCAATTTCTGTTCTGTCCACACTCACAACATCCATATTTTCCTGCAGTGATCCAATAAAACTTAATGATGGGTATCATGGTACAAAAGGGGAGACAACTTTGGTTTGAACAGTTTGCACAGTTAGCGCAAATTGGGATGAGCGTAGATGAAATCTCTCCCTAATGCACTAACACAGAACAAAAGGATTTATCTTCTTTTTGTTACCAAGGAAACCTTAGAATGTAATGCTCATACTCACTTTTTAGGGGGAAAATTCCCTTCATTCTTCCTGGTCTTTTAACTTAAAATTTATTTTAAAATTCTTATTTCAGCAAGGATTCATTTGTTCCCTTGGATACCTCCTTTAGAAAGCTGTAACATGACTATCCACTACATTTATCAGAGATACAAAAACTCTGGTTCATCTCAAATTTTTCTCAGTGGCTTTTTGCAGGGCCTGATACATTTTATTTTCTTTCCTTTCTAAATTAAAATTTTGATTTTTTAAATGAAATTTTGACACTTAACCTTAGAAAACGTGCTCTTCTGCAACATCTGAGTGGCACTTGTCAGCTGTAGCACTGAAAACCATTTCTACATCTATGTTCTGTCATTTCCATGAGAAGACAGAAGAAAAACCACCACATGGAAGAATGAGTTGAAGGGGGGAGCTGTAAGGGCAGCAGAGCCCATTGCCAGGGAATTGAGCGTTGCCCATTGCAGCCTGGCTGCAGCATCCGCAGGTTTAGAGTTCTCCTGAACATTAAGAAAATAAGGATACGGGAAGCACCTAACGTGGACAGTTGCAATAAGAGAAAACGGTGTAAGTGTGCAGCAAGGGCAAGGTGAACATTAGAATAATTACAGTGGTAGTTCAGAGGTTTCAATAGGCAGATTTAAAAATGAAAGAAATAACAGTAAAAAGAGGCAGGTTTGGGGTCATGGATGAGTCCAGGATTTTGGCGCTGGGAGCAAATGTAACTGAGCTCAAAAGTGTGACTCAGTGTGACAAATTCATCCGTCGCGTAGGAAGAAAGAGAGTTGTTTTAGAAGCACTCAGTAGTAGGAAGTTATGGTGTAGACGAGAAGTGATAGCCAAGACAGAGAGATGGGGAATAAAGGAATTGGCGTGAGTCTATAGATCATTATTGCTCCCACGGCAACAGAGGGAACACAGATTGCTGAGCTTCCCACAACGGCCCCAAGTTAACCACGCCAACAGAAAAGGCCACGGCTCGCAATTTTGAGGCACTGACCTTGTGACACCATTAAATACTTGATATTAAAGTACCATTGCAACAGCCACTAAAAGAAGGTTCTTGTGTTAGGTGACTCAAAGAATGTTATCCTAACACCTATGCCTCTGAGCTGATGATTAAGAAATCTGAGTCGACCACAAAAAAAATCCAAAGCAAAATGGAACAAAAGAAACACAAAAATGCCGTTCATCAAACGTGCTGCAAATCTGATCTAATTCTACAGGAGAGAAAAAAATCCAAATGTATATTACACATATAGATCCTTTAACTGGGTAACAAGAGAAGGATTGATCCTCAATTTATACAGACTTCATGGTGAAACAAAGAGGAACTGAGAACATAATGCAAATAAAATATAGAGGTAGAAACTGTACAGAATCTCGTCGTGGTTTTATAGCAGTACATCTCAAGGACAATCATATTAGATAATTTTTCCTTTAATTTAGTAGTCTTTAACTACAGGCAATTGGCTTAGGCAAAAGAGGAAATGAACTGAAACATATTCTTAGATCCGCTATGTACAGATCCATACAAAATTAAAATAATAGGTATTGGCTTTATATAAGGAAAAATACTGTTAGTGAATAAATGCATCACATACTCAAATTATTCTAGTGTCTTCATATGGTTTTTATATTTTAAAAAGGCCATAATCAACATATATTTATGGATGTTGTAATGCATCTAAAACCCAAACTCATAAACCACTCAAAGAATATTCCTTCTCTGTCTTCACGGGTGAATGGGCAAAGAGCTCAAACGAGATGCTCGCACCCTGCAGCGTGCCCTGGACCCTTCTCCTCTGGGTCTGCTTGGAATCCACTGTTCTTCCCCTGCCTTGCATGGCAGCAAGGAACCCAGGACATGAAGGGGTGCTGCTGGGTGCCCAGATCTTTCTGATATTAGATGGGATGCAGCCAGCACACGGACTGTAACGTGGGATCTTGCAGACTCTCTCATCATAAAAACATTACAAATTGTGGAGACCTTTGGTGGTTTACTGAAGCACAGGAAGGACTTCACAAAGCCTTTTCTTCTTTCCCTGCTCTTCCTTAATACTTATCCCTCAATGCAATGATTTAAAGATTAGCTTTTGCCACATTCATGGCAGTTGTGAGAAATGCAAAAGCTACTTAGAGCCTGCACCTCCATTTTCTCCTCTTACTATTAAAGCTTTGGAGAATTTAAAATGCATCCTCATCTCAGTCATACCGAATGAAAAGCGACATGCATAAGAATCTATGAAAATGAAAGCTATAAATTTTTTCTAATTACATAGGTGGGTACGTCTCTGCTAAGAGCAGCCCCAAAGCCTCCCTACTCAGCCCGACAAACAGAGCAAAGCCTCCCCGGACGGCTGTCCCCATGGCCAGAGCTCAGTGTCCCCAGACCCCTGCAACCTGCCATGCATTGCCAGGGAGGTCGGCAGGGGACAGACTGGACAGATCTTCACCTGGCTCTGGAGATCACCAACGTATGGCTTCTAAACTGCCTTGTCCTGCTGCACCTTATGTACTTCTGTAGAGCTGTATTTATGTTGATAGCTGACTGCTCACTGCATGGTTTGTGCTGCTGTGCACGAACCAGCTTCACTGAAGCAGGATCGCTACTTTTTCACGTGGAGAAGTCATTATTACTACTTTTTTCAAGTAGAAAAACCGGCTGCTAAGCATGCATGCCAGTTAGATGAGAGAAGCGAAGTGTTACCTTCATTGCTAAAGCAGCTTATCAACATTCTGTTCCTTGCTGCATGCATCTTCTGCCACAGAGCACTGCTCTTAGTATTTGCTCTCCCCTGCAGATGCTAATATGTGGCTGTGCCTGTTCATGTCATTTTGGGGAATTTCTGAGACCTAAAGACATCCGTTTTTCTTTCCTCTTTTCGCAGTTAGCATCTTTCCTTTTAGGTAGCTGCTCTAACTTCAAGTGAGCGGAATTGCTTTTGTAATGGACTTACCAAGAAACCTGCGAAAAAGAGGTCGGGTAGTCTTGTCTAACCCAGCATTAGAAACTGTGAAAACAGGGCTGCGGAAAAATATTTATGCTTGGTATTGCCCATTAACCCCATACATCTCCTCTGGGACCTCCCAGCACACATCACGCTCAACTGCTGGCGCCAAGAAGCTAAAAGGTCTGCATGTGTGTTGTAATCAATTCGGAAGTCAGGTAACGCCGAACGGACGGGAACAGGGCTCTGGCTCAGTGTGAATGAACTCAAACTTACTTCAGCTACAGAAAGTCAAACTGACTGATGGTATAAAGTAAAGAAACCACTCCTCAACTCATTCTCAAACTCAGAAAAGCTAAGCATGTGTATATTAAAAAAAAAGAGGAAAAGTACAAGCCTGTAAACCAAATAAAGTCATTCTCGCTTCACAGGTGCTGCAAATTTGCCTTACACCAAGGTAATGCTGAACTGCTCAGGCAAACAACCCCTCCTCGTGTTTCTGCCAAGAGCTAAGTCTAAGACCAAAGATAACGTAACATGGAAGTACAAAGGGATTAAAAATGAGAAAAAAATCAAACTCTTACCTTGGGCAGGATCAGGCGGGCCAAACTCCAACGAGTATCGCAGAATGAAGTTGTTATTCCACACGTACAGCTGGTTGTCTCTGGGGTTGTAATCCACTGCGGCGATGTACTGGTACTGGTTGGGGAAAGGAACATCCACGTGCTCGCCCCTGCTTAACCTGGTGTTGTAGATTCCTCCCTGCCGGTCTCGCTCTCGTTGTCCTGGTACACCGACCGCACTACGTACAGGACCCCGCAGATCATGAACGCGTTGGACGCTGCCCGCTTGTCGTACGTCGTTTCCCAGGTGGCTTCAAAACGCAGGGTGTAGGGGTTCAGCTGACTAATGACGATCATCCCGTTGTTTTGCTCCGTAGCGTAAATTACCCATAAGCCATTTTCATCAACTGCCAAGTCAATATCAGTCTTTCCTCCCCATCGGTACGGAGAGGTGTCGTGGTAATTAGCATAATTGATTATGGCCTCTCCACTCTTAATTCTAGTCCTCAAGTCGAATTTTACTATGTTCCTAGTTCTTTCCTTGTTAAAAAAGACAGCGCCATCATACACTACAAATCCGGTACCATCCACTCGATTTGGGAGTTTATACGTCGTCTGCTGGCGTCCGTTCTGGAAGTCCTCTAAAGAAGCATATTCTATCAAAGTATCAGTGCGATACGGAGTCCATGGCATGAAGTATATTTTATCTGCAGCCTGGAGAGGATCTTTGCACCAAGCACCTGCTTTTTGTTCAGCTTCATATAAATACGGTGAGTCCACAATTGCTTTCAACGTCCCCGGGCAAACAAAAACTAACAGTCACAGAGAGAAGTAAGACAAGAATTACGTCAAATTAAGACTGTCTCATAATAAAATGAAACAAAAAAAAAGAAAAAAAAAAGGTAGGTAAATCATAATGACTGTGTCAGGAAGAAAAAAAATCAATTTAATTGGCACTAGATTATACCTCGTGTTATAATTAATGCAATTATCACCCTTTATCATCCACTTTTCTTAAAGTTACCATGTTCTTGCTGTACCAGTATGGAAAGTGGATGGGAACTGTTTTCACTAGTACAGACCAAGGCTCAATGGCATACACAGACAGCTGAAAATGGAGAGCTACTCTTGCATTTTCGTCTTGGACTTTTAGTGAGTACGCATTAACGCTCCAGAGCTTTTAACTGGTGTGCAGCAGTGTGCTGGGTCATTTCAGTCCAAAAAAAATCGCATCAACTTGTTTAGAACTTTAAGAAGTGGTGAGGCTGAAAAAGGAGGTGCCTCGATTACAAATAAAGGAACAAATCAAATCATCAGGTATATCGAGAAAGCAATTAGGAGCAGAGAAAACAAAACACAACCAAAGCAATGAATGAAACAGACCAGGAAACCCTGTAACCATGGCATGCTATGGAGAGGGTTCTGGAAGCCAGGCAAGATGACACTTGATTAACAAGAATTTACCCAAGGGGGAGAGAAAGAGAGGGAAAGAAAGACAAAGAGAAAGGGAGAGAAAAAAGCAAGGGAGTCTTCCCTCCAGCCCAAGTATTTCAGACACTATCCCCCGCCACCTACTTTAAGCAGCCAAGTCACTTTATTGCAAACAGTCGACTTCTTTATGAGGTGTACTTATGAGATCCTGCTGATTATCATAATATAAGAGTGTTGTGGGGAGGGGAAGGGAAGAGGTTAACATCCATAAGGCACATAACAAGGAGCTGGGGTTTGGACTGTATACATTATTTACCTTTTTGCTCCACTTCTATTTTAAGCATCGGAAGAAAAATAAAAAAGTGCAAGGAAAAAAGAAAGAAGATTAACATAAATTGACTATTAATCTAAAGATTAAATTAGTAACAGACGCTAAATATAGGGAGAATAAGAACTGCACTATATCGGATAAAGAGAAACAGACAACAGGAAAACCTAGCGGGAGAGAGATTCTACGGTTACACAAGTGAACACGGATCAATCATTTCAGTAGATTAAGGAGGCAATACAGATATGTTGGCATGTAGTTTCACTTAGTGAACCTGAATAAATAATGAATGGCTTTACTAATGCATGCTATACATACTCTTCTTCTCAAAGCATAATGCTATCAAGTCGGTTTTTAAGCGACACATTAATTTACCATATATGTGCGAGTGCACATATACATATTATATTAATTAGAGAATTGTAAATCCAAACTGCAGTATATTAATTATATAGGTTTGTATGTGTGCTGATTAAACCTCCCCCCATCTTTGCCCCAGACATCCCTCTGCTTTTCTTTCTTGTAAAGAAAGCAGCTTGCATCCTTTAGCTCTCCTCAGGCTTTCTTTTACTGTTTTTCCTGAATGTTAATCTTGAGAACTTTAGCCACTTCTTAGTCTACAACTGCAAAACCAGACTAGAAGGAATAAGCAAAAACATCTAGAAAAAAGAAGCAAAAGCACAGTAAGCAAGAGGAAAAGAGAAGAAAAAAATTAACATTTAGCTCATTCAGATATTCTCCAGCATCATCGATTAAGCCCGAAACAGCAAGCTAGTATGCAAGGACAGTCATACTAAGTGTTTAAAACTAATAGCCACCCCACCACCACACATGGAAAATATAAACCCAGCCCGATTAACAAAGTTACATTACTACAGCAATTTTTCCCCAAGGAAGTTTTAAGGAACATACTACAGGCAGACACAGAGCTGAAGTCCAGCTAGTAAATAGCTTTCCAATAATTATTTGCAATAAAATCTATTTCATGTACTCCTTTGAAGTACGCCCCCTCCGTTTCATACAATGACCTGGAAAATGACAGATGTACCAATCCGGGTAACGGGAGCTGCTGCTGCCAGGGAAGTGTAGCAAAACTATTTGCACAGCTATTACACTTCCAGTATTACAGCATTACCCTGAAGAATGTATTTGTGTGTTTCATATAAAGTTCTGGATTTTCAGTTTCATTTAACAAAATTACACACGATTACTCTGAGAGAACAGGATTGGCTGAGCTGATCTAGTGTTTCTTCAGGGAACCATTCCAAAACTTTATGGGGGAGCGGAAGGGGGTTAATATTCCCAAAACGAGCAGTAGTTTCCCTAGCCTTTGTTCATTTATACATCTTTAGGTAAAACACTTGTTCTTCTGCCATTTGTAATTCGTGAGTTATCTGAGCAAACAGATGTATTCTGAGATGAATTCCTGGGTCTCACAATCAGTGCTAATGACTTTCAGACGATTCTGTTTGTGAACTTTTATGCATGAGTTTATTCCTTGCCAAAGAGCAATATTGATATTGTACCTGCTTAGAATTAGTAATAGGAGAGGGGGGAAAAGATAGGGATAGCTAAAATCATTACTGGCATGTCTGCTCTGCATGCATTGGTGTACAGCTGTACGTTTTGCAGGGACAGATGGGCTTATTGAAATAAACAAATGCTGCAAAGTCCAATCAATACAGACAGAGAGAGAATAAAACACTTTAAAACGTTTTCTATTGAATTCCTGAGTCCAAAAAAGGCTTAAAATAAAAATGCACAGATGTACAAAATGGTACTTCTGATGTTCTTCTTTATAGAAGGGCTGACTTCTGTTATTCACTCAAAGTGTCAACATACATTGTGCAGCAGAATTGAAAGAAATGTCAAGTATGGTACTCTCAATTTCTTTGTAATTTAATCAATAACCCCCTTATTTTAGGACAAAGCAACGCCTATCAAATTTGTCTAGAATTTTAGTTTTGTTGGAGATCCAACTAAGTATCTCAATAGATTTTTACTTTTTTTTACTAAAGAGGATGAGAAAAACAGCAGCAACAGGGCTACACCTTGAGATGCAAAAAAGGAAGCTTTTCATTAAGTACTTTCTTATGAGGGCAATAAACACAGAACCCAGAGAAAGCCCAATCAGTTTATAAGATAAACAAAGCAGCTACGCATTTCTGGAAGTCATAGAGGAGCTCGTAAACTGCATTTTGTACAAGGGTGACACCAACTCCAGCGTGCAAGAACTTCCAATGTTTACCACAAGAGCTAGCGTGATTGCTATTTGTAATAACTAACTCATGAACTGAAAGGTGTCACAGTGAGACACCGCAAATTCTGCAGTCTTTCAGTAACAAAAGCTGACGTTCATAAGAAGTAAGAACCATGACTTTGGTCAGAAGTGTTGTGATCACTAAAAAGCTTCCTTCCCAGACCCACAAAAGCCTAACCTACCCTACTGGCAAGTCTCTGATTCTTGGACAGCTGCTATTTGCAAACCTAATGATTTCAGTCATTGCGTACATTTAGATATGGAGCACTGGAACAAGTAAGGGAGAAAAAAACAAGACTTGATAACTGGAGTTTATCAAGGCATCATTTTGATTTCTAAATTTCCAGAAGACTTGGAAAAAATAGCAGGACAGGCTTTGTGGGACAGGGAAGAAAGATGGTCAACACTCACACCAGCTCAAAACAAGCACAGTGTGGCTTGAAATCAAACCTCAAAACCGATTTTAATAACTGGCAACCTTTTTGACGACTGCTGTAAGGAGAGGTGATGCCTCTTACAGCTCTGGAATTGGGCACGGTGTCATGACTGTACACACTGCAGTTGACAAACTCCAAAACGATAGACTTTGAAAGACAAGAAGTATCCAGAATCTTGAGTTATGGCAGACACAGAATTACATCATTCAAAGAGCAGAACAACGCAATTGACAGAAAACAAAAACAAACATTTTAAAAGCAGAATAACTACAAGTTAGAGCACAGGGTAGGCCGCGCTGTGGCTCTATACTGCTGAAAACTGGAAAAGAAAAGATTCCTGGAGATAGCAATACCCAATCAGAAGAACATATCCACACTTCTCTTCCTAAAACAGCATAAAAAATCACATTTCAACATTATTTGCATTACACTTTTTCTCTATGAGCTAGCCTACTGGAACTGGAAACGTAACCTCTTGTCATCTGACTGACCTCACGGTTTGGAATCAGATGCACTGCCCTCTTTCTGAGAATTTGGGAATGAAAATGGTGCTAAAGTAAAAGTGATCTTTGTGGAATAAAACTTTGGTTAGATTGGGGTAAGACATCACTCCTCAAAAGTGGCACGAGAAGAACGGTTACAACAAGCCACCGATACTACACACAGGAGGAATGGTACTAGGGATCACTGTATGCAGTAGGCTTCCAATCCTACAAATGGTACAGAAAAAAAATCAGCAAGCAACCGTTTCACAATGACACAGCAGAAATGAAGAAAAAACCAAGATGAACTGTGTTTGGCCTTTAACAACAGTGGAGGTTCAATGTGGTGAAGCAGTACAGAGTAGCATTTTGATGTAAAAAGTCTCAATTTTAAAATTGTGCAGTAAACAGCACAGACAGTTTTGACATGGCTTTGCTTATGCCAGAACTCATTTCCTTCCTTTTGGGATATATACTGTCACCACAGTGTTTCTGTATCTCAGACTTGGCCTGTTTCCTGTACCAACAGAAAATGTGACTTTGGTTAAGGATTACTGCAGATCAAGAAATTCATGCTTAACAGTAACTTAAGGGAACAATCAGTGCACTGCTCAAATTCCATTGCAAACACAGCTATTTCTCTGCTGAGTTACGGGACGAGGGAGAAGTCACTGCAAAGAATGACCTTACAAGAAAGCAAAACCAGTTAAAAGTGTCGAATCTGCAGAACTTTTACAAACATGCATACATGTCGATGAAATAAAAAAAAAGCATTCATTATTGCAAGGAAATCAGAAGTATGTCTAAAGCTACTGAATTCTGGCATTAGAAAGAATATCATACAAAACTGCTGAAGTAGCCGTAACTTCAGATGTTTTTCATCTCAGTATGATTTGAGTATTTACTTTGTTTTCAGTGAAAAATTCTGTTTTGGCAGCTGATTCGAGGCACAATTCATATTTTCTCTTTACCTTAAAAGTGAACGTTACTTTCTCATTCTTTTCCCCTTTGTTTTTAAGAACCAAGTGTGAGTAACTCACTGACGAATTATTCACTCTGAATCTGCGCTTACTTTCAATGTGCCCCCGAAGCACAAAGTCCTCTTACAACGTCCCTCAACTGGGGCATTTGCCTCAGAGTGGCAGTGCGGGGTTGTGCCGGGCACCCAAAGTCACCATGACAGCAGGTAGCCTTTCAAGCAGATCATGATTAAAATTGAAGTCAATTCCTGCTTTAGAGGTCTGTGAGCCAAGCCAATTTGTCAGCAACTGGTAGCGGGCAAAAGTACAAATTTCTATCTGGCCTATTGAATAGCTAATTCGAGTTTGTTTTCTGGAAAAACAGTAGCCTTAAAAGCCAAACACTTAAGAACACAGACAGACACTTGGCCAGCATCACACCATGGCTTCCTTCCACACTTGGTGAAGCTAATTGGAGGCCCTAGTCTGCAAGTGCTCTGCATGCATAATGGGTCTGTGGGCCAGAAACATATGCTTCTTTTCCATGTAACAGCACTCCAGCTTTAATTGTGAGGGCCAGAGGAAGTGAGCAAGAATAAAAAGATTATACTTACTGTAAGGAACACATTCATACTGAACTTCTAGATATTTGTATGTTCCAGGACAAGGATCAGGAAACACATCTGACCCAGTAACTACTATACACTGTGTTCGGTTGTTGCACCTGTAATGGGAAAAGAAAGCAAGCTAATTAATTTAAAATTACATTTAATTTGCAAGTTCATACTAAAGTGCTATACGCAGTGCTAACTCTCTTCACACTTGGGCAGTCCAATCCATAAACCAACAAAGTTAATGAATACTACATCAGTCAAAGTCCATAAATAAGGCTTCAAGACAGTATTTCAGTTCAGGCTTTATTACTTTTAAATATGGAGATCAATGTTATCTCAAATGTCACTTGTTGCCAGTGATAGCGATAGCTGCCCCAAATATATACTCATTTGATACAAGTGTTCAATAAAATCAAAGCAAAATGCAAAGACGATACAAAATTAAAATTGTGTAATTTTGAATAGTGTACTATAACACAGATGAGCAATTCCTTCCTCCTTTAGAGATACACATACTGCTGAAGGGTTTTACATCTCAGACAGATTTTTGTTGCAATTCAAGGAAATTATTTGGGTTGGAAGAGTTATTGTAGAAAAATAACATTAGCATTTCCATTCTAATTATTTTAGGAGCAATTGGAGGACTCTAAGCTTCCTCTGTAAGGTCACACGAAGAGGTAAAGAATGACTGTCTGAGGAAATAAGAAGAACAGTTAAAAAGAAGAACTGCAAGAAAATGAATTAAAATGTGTTTTAGAGGACACTAAGTCCTGAAACATATATATGATTTGCTTAACAATGCAAGCCAATGCGTTTGGATACAAAGAAGAACTTTATTACAATGCCTCTAAGCACAAGGGTCTACTGAATTTAATGGGTTTAGAAAAAGTTTTTTAAAATATTAATAATCAAGATAATTTAACTACTTTACATTTTACCAAAAAACAAAGAAAGCTTGGAAGTTAAAAGTGGAAAAACAATCACTTAACCCTGAAGAGATGTTGAAAATGCAATACAGAAAAAATAGTGAGAAGGAAGTGGAAGGAAAAAAAGAGAAGGTCAGGGAGTTTGGTGACTAAAGGAAAAAGAGCTTGGCTGATCTTCTCAGGGGTTAGTTTTGTTTGTCAGCAAACGGAATAACAGAAGTCTGAACTTAAGTAACAGTCTAGCCTTTGACTCCAGCTGTACATCAACTTCTTGCCCTTCTACTTCCCACACTCCCTGAATACCACATCCCAAGCTAAAATATTCTGTTTTGTATCAATGGCTTTCCACAGCTGTGCATTACCACCAGGTATAAGAATAATTCAAGCTGCCTCATGAGAGGTAGAGCAAGCTCATTTGAAGAACTCTGATATAAATCACTTTTCCTTTTTATATACTAATCAAATGGGGACCGAGCTGGTCAGGACATACTGTGCCTCTTGCTCAGCAAACTTGGGAACAACAACTCCTCTGGCTTGATCAGTTAATTCTTCCTTTCCTTTTCCTTTTTTCTTTTGTTTAAGCTACTTATTTCTAGCCTCATAAGGCTCATAATTGCAGAACCAATTGGAAATACCCAGGGATTTCTGCATATATGCATAACCATGGATGCAGATAGATGGTGAGGAATTCATGTGTCAGAGAGCACAGGCAGGTCCCCTGTGCAGCCACGGCACCGGGTAACGCCACACCACTCCCAGCAGCACAAATATTCAGTCCAGCAGCTCCTGCAGCATATTTGGGAGTCTGGAACGAGTGCAATGCATCCAATGGCTTTCAGACCCACACTGCAGTGATGAAATGTGCACCCAACCTGCAGAGAACAGCACTGTACCGAATCTGCAATACTGAAATGGCACAGTACAGCCACCTTCTTGTCCTCACGCCAAGGTCAAAGTGCTGCTCTCGCCTGTGCTCTGTAGGAGGAAGCTGTAGAAGCAGGGCAAGGCAATATGGCCCAAAACCTCAGAGGTGTCTCTGTTCTAAGCCCCGCACTGTTTTTTTTTAATGCCCACACCTCAGGCCAGACTAACCAGCATGAGAAAAGCTTGGATGTAAGATTTTGTAATTAATTTCTTTAAATATCTTTCTGTTTCTTTAGTGAAAGCCTTATGCTGAAGCCAAAATAATTCCTACAGAAAGACTCTGTGTAGTGCATCATTCAGTATAATGGTTTCCACAGCTTTGAGCTGTACGAAAATTTCATTTTACACTTGAATGAGTGGCAATTAAGAGAGAAATATTGATTTGTTACAAAATAAAACGGATACGTATTGGGAGAAATTGCTTGAGAATGAAACTGATGAAGGTCATATTTAGCTGGAGAAAAAAAAAAGTTTTACTAGCACTATTAGTAAATCTTATGGAAAAGATGGACACCTGTCTGCCCATGAAAAGTTGTTTTCTGCTCTTTCATTTTCCCCCAGTGAAAGACTCATAATGTTACCGTCAGTCAGGAAACCGAGAACAACTCCATGCCAGCTTGTATCAAAGGATGTATAATGATAATGCAGAAGAAAATGTGGTATTTTTTTTCTTTGTACAGCGTCAGTGTCAAACTTCAGGCGCTGAGTGGCATTTACAGGAAGATGCTGACATTCTCAAAACTTTTCACTATTTCTTTGTGCAACACGTCGCCTTCTGCTCACCTTTGGCCAAACTGAAGGAAACCCCAAATCCAAACAAATGAGCTATGCCCACTGGTGCAGTACACAGCAGTGTTACAGAGCACACCACCACCTCCGCAAGCAGTGCAATTACTTGGAGAACTGAACGAACAGAAGGATTTGTGCTTCAAGTAAGTCGTAGCTTTTTACGCCACTGATTTTGCTGCATTACTGTTGCATTTTATAAAATGTGAGTATTTTTCATACAAGGCTCTGATTTTCATGCACTTCTAAGATTTCAAATTAAAGGCACTTGATTTTTACATGTTAAAACAATGGAAATTTCAGGTTACCACTTGTTCCATAGTGGTCAAATTTCAATTCCAGTGAAACCACAAAAACCCGACAGCGACTACAGCAACTGTCAATCCCAATTCATGGGTTACGGAGAAGAGATGAAGAGCAAGCAGACTCTGTAGAGCTAGTCCCGAGACAAGCAATTCAGGGAATTTACACTACTGCCAGTTGTTCTCTGGGTAAATGAAAGTCTTCTGCCTGCTGCGTTGGGGTTTTTCCCCTATAAAAGCAACGATACCAACTTCTCTGTTAGTTCTTGCCCTGGAGTTCTGCTGCTGCCTGCAAAGGCCATTTCACAAACTGATGAAGGTTTCAGCTTCTTTAACAGAAGAAACACTGAATTCTGCCTGGTATTTTGGACAACAGAAACTGCACTCTCCATAAAATAGCACTAAGCAGCAGATTATTTCACAAGGCTACAGATCATCAAAGATGCTGCATCACTGCCACAGCACAGCTTCATCATCTTCAGAAACCTTTACACTTAGAAACACCAAGTCCAGTGCAGAGGATGTTGCACTGTTACAGCCTTCAACTCAATCCTGTGACCCATTTTCATTCCTTTCTGAGTTCAGCCACTTCACAGGATTCTCCAAAACAAGACTACAGTGGAAATAAAAGCCCTGGCCATTCGCAAATAACTTGGAAGAGATTAATTCATTACAACCAATGTTATTTTTTCTACACAATATTTTGTTAGTTTAGTCCATCCATTCAAGCTCTTTCAGAATTGTTCCAACTGAAAGCATGATACAAACAAGCTCTAATTCTTGCACGTTTAAGAAGTCACATTGCAAATACCTTAGTGTTTCAGTGTCTGCAATCTAGTGTTGAAGTTTTCTGTAGGTTTTAAGAACCAGTTTTCTGTAATCTAGTAAACTGCATATTTCCCTAGCATAAGTTAAAATAGGCAAATTAAGAGGGTTTTTTATGTACAATCTTAAAATTCATATGATCTGCCAACGAGAAATGTCTTCATGCTTAAGACATTCAAAATATCCATGAAGATTTATGATACAGTGACTTTGTCATATACAAGGAAATAAAACAGACCTGCAAAGAACTCTATACAAACTCAGTAACAGTTGATTTAAGAAAGGTAATATGTGAATTCAGTTTGAAACCCTAGTTAGGAAAAGACTAACTGTAGCATCGGAGGTGTTAATTCTCCTTCTCCTCTACTCTGCCCTGGTGAGACCACATCTGCAATATTGTGTTCAGTTCTGGGCCCTCAGCTCAAGAAGGGCAGGAACTGCTTGAAAGAGTCCAGCAGGGCCACAAAGATGATGGAGGGAGTGGAGCATCTCCTGCTGAGGAGCGGCTGAGGGAGCTGGGGCTCTTGAGCTTGGAGCAGAGGAGACTGAGGGGTGCCCTCATTCCTGGGGATCCATTTGGAAAGGGCAGTGTCAGGAGGAAGGAGCCAGGCTCTGCTCTGGGATGGCCAATGCCAGGACAAGGGGCAATGGTCCCAAGCTGGAGCACAGGAGGTTCAAGCTGAAGATGAGGAGAAACTTTGTGAGTGTGAGGGTTATGGAGCATGGCCCAGGCTGCCCAGAGAGGTTGTGGAGTCTCCTTGTCTGGAGACACCCAAAGCCCTGGCCGTGTTCCTGTGTGACTGCTCTGGTGATCCTGCTGTGGCAGGGGTTGGACTGGATGAGCTTTCCAGGTCCCTTCCAACTCCTGATATCCTGTGATTCTGTGAATTCAGGTTCCTGTGCCAGTAGCAGCAAGAGTTTTGCAAGGGGAAATGTAGGAAGTATCACTATTCTCACGAATGCAAGGAGCAAGTGTGTACTCTAATGCTTGTTTCTTCAGTATTTTACTATGAATGAAGAAAGGTTACATTTTCATAATGCAGATGCACCACTCAGAGTAATCTAAAAATCAAATGGAGTGTTTAATTAACAGTTCCAGCACAATGTCTGAACTCCTTTCACCTCAGGAAGAAGACTGTGCAAATGAGGAATGGCCTGTTCACATTTCAGATGAATATAGAAAAAAAGGTGAGTAAAGCAGCTCCAGCAGGGCTGTTGGCAAGGATCTTCTGCTCACGATGTAGCCATGTCCCTGCTGCATCCATCCCCTTCTGGGCTCAGCTCTGAGGACAGAAATACTTCCCATGATAATTTGTTTGCGTTTCAACTCTCATCTTGACTTGTACA